TTTAACATGGTAAAACCCTACTTTAATTGATTTTGGAGTCTATTATATATATATATATATATATATATATATATATATATATATATAAGTATTTTGAACCTTTTGTTAATTTGTTTATTGCCTTTAATTTAAAATATTATGCTCAACAATTGACGCTGTAGATTTCATTCAGCATAATGATCAAGTTACTAAATTTATGAACACTATAACAAAAAAAAAAAAAGAATTTTAACAGGTAACACCAATAAATTAATACTCATTTATGGCCAATTTTATGATTAAATTTAGAGCTATTTGAAAATATACATATATCAAGAAACTTTTCATGTTTTTTCCATTTAAAATATGTTCTAATTTATCATATTATGATTTAATTAGTTACCATATTACCATATTATGATTTAATTAGTTATCTATGATCAAATATTTTAATTTTCCTATTATATCAACTATAATATGACATTATTTTAAACCAATTAAGTATAAATGTAAAAATTGAAATTGTGTATTCTTTAGTTATACCTTCTTTCCATTTTTATATGAATCACTTCTCTCATTTTTAATTTTCTTATTACGGGCACATAATTAGAATCACTTTTGAGGGTTTAGGATTGCTTATTTAAATTGTTTATTAACTTATTTTGTTGCGGTACTCTTGATAATAAGTTTTTAGTGTTTGGATGAAGAAAAAAAATGAAATGCTTAATGAGGAGTTTTTAATAAGTTACCCCATTATAACTTGTTAACTTATTCTTGTGTGTTAGTAATAAATAGTTTTTAGTGTTTGGATAGGAAAAGAAAAGAGTATCTCATCTATTTTATCAGGTTATCTGGTGTGGTACCTCCATAAGCTAATCTAAACATTTTTTTATAAAAAAATCAGTTTCTCACCATATAAGTTGATAAGCATATTTACAAAAAAGATATAAATTATTTTAAATAAGCAATCCCAAACACCCCCTTAATATAGTCAACTTTTTAAAAAAGATTACTATTCATAATTCATCACTTACATACAACCTAGTTACTACCTTCAAATCCTATCTCACTCATATACACCTATAAGAGGGTTATAAATAGAATTCACCATATAATAATAATGTTAATTATATATAAAATTCATTATTGGTGTATCATTTTATAAAAATATATATTGCCAAACAAACATTAAAATTATTTTATAGTGTAACTATAATTTTCAAAAATTCCTGAGTTTTCATAGTAAAACTGAAATCCCATTAAACTTGAGAGTAAGATGCAGGATATTAGTGGAGCAATAATTTATGATAGTTCTTAATGGATGCATACAATCCATTTTAACTAACGAATCGCAGAGTAAGAGTAGGAGACATACCTCACATTTATATCCCTGTGCCGTAGAGAAGGGCCGTCCCTTTCCAACGTCCTCCCTCCGTTCTCTCTCTCTCTCTCTCTCTCTATAAAGGCAACATAATTCGGAGAGAACTACCACTAACCACTCTCTCTCTCTCTCTCTCTCTCTCTCTCCCTCCCTCCTCCATCATCATCAAGAAATCCCCTGTTTTCCACTTCACTCCAACGGCTTCTCTAAAACCCTAATCATTCACTCTTGTCCACTGTGTTCCCTTCCCAATCTCCGTTTTCACTCATTGCAACGACCCACAATCCACCCGTTAACCTTTTGTTGAAAATGTGTTCCCATTTCTACTTTTCTTGATATCTGCTCAAAATTTTACCTCATTCACATCTGTAGAGGGATCATGGACACTGTAGGGAGGCATCAGTACAGACCCGCGAGAGAGAATCCCTCTTTCTCATCATCGTTGCTCGATGAGATCTATCGCTCCATCGATGAACGAGACGACCAAGAGTTGATGGTTTATAGAAAAACCACTAGAGAAAAACAGAGCAATTATTCTATTAATGGCTGTTTTCAAAATCATGGTGATGCTCAACAAGATATTGCCGGTATAGGACGAAATTGCCTGATTGAGAAATGGATGGACAAGGAAGTGTGCGAAAAAGTTGTTGTTAGAAGAAGATCGGCTGCGGATTTCAAAAAGAGTTCGCAGCAAAGAGAAGGTGATTCTCTCTACTTCCATTCAAGCTCCAGCTCTTCTGATTCTAGCTGTGGCGGAGGTTTTTCTTCCTCAGAGGCTGAATCCGTATACGGCACCTCATCAAGGCCTAAACCAATCCATACCGGCACAGATCGACACGAAGAATACAACAGAAGAGGAAAACAGCGGAACACGTATGGCCAAAACTACCAACTCGAAGTCGAAGATTTGCAATCAAAGCCAAAACACGAAGGCAAATTCGTGAAGACGAAATCGAGAGCAATGAAGATCTATGGTGACCTGAAGAAAGTGAAGCAGCCGATTTCTCCAGGAGGTCGTTTAGCAACTTTTCTGAACTCACTTTTCACTAACGGCAACACGAAGAGCACGAAGCTTGCATCCTCCTCCACCACAGGTTATGATAACGCCAGGAGTCATATGGACAGAAAATCAAAATCCGCCAATGCATCAACATGTTCATCTGCGTCCTCATTTTCCCGATCGTGTTTGAGCAAAACTCCATCATCCAGGGGAAAATTAAGCAATAACAAGATAAGATCTGTTAGGTTCTTTCCTGTGAGCGTGATCGTGGACGAAGACTGTCAGCCGTGTGGACACAAATCTCTGTACGGAGAAGAATCAAATCTACAATCCGTCAAATTCGTCAAAAACACCATCACCGAAGAGCTCAAAATGCATTCAAGTGAGAAAAACCGTCGGATCGAAGAAGCAGCAAGGAATTTATTGAGGAATTACCAGAAAAAAGTGGAATGCGAGTTCGATCTGATCAGAAACAGTGTTAAATCTCACAATGAAATCGACATGAACTACGAAGAAGATGACGATGATGATGCTGCTAGCCACACCAGCTCCGATCTCTTTGAGCTCAAGAATTTTTCTGCAATCGGAATGGAGAAGTATAGAGATGAATTACCTGTATACGAAACAACTCATCTGGATACAAACCTTGCGATTGGTAATGGCTTCCTCATGTAATTGAAATGGAAAACAAAAAAATAGGTTATTGTTAGTTATTGGGTGTGGGGTTTTACGTGAAGATAAATCAGAAGGGAAATTTGAGTTTGTATGATTAATGTATTTTTATATATCAAAAATATGTTTTAGGGTTTGGTTATGGAAATGGAGAACTATGCTTAATTTCTTGTTCTCATCTGTCTTTGTAACTTAATTTGTAAAGGAGTGAAGCGATTTTGTTCAGATACAGATACATAGACATCTGCTAGTTTTAGCAGTCGGCTTTGAAATGTATCATCACATGTGGTTTTTAGGGACTGATCAAGGTTGACGTAATCAACCTTATTCTCAAATATCAAAAATATGCTTTAGTGTTACATAAGTGGAAATGGAGAGCTGTAACCGGTTTAAAAAAGGGATTAAAGTTGATAGTGAGTGACAACTGTTATAGAACCAAAAATGGAATTTACAATATTTATAGTTTTTAAATATAAAAATGATTTTGAACAAATTTTATATATATGCCCATTGAAGGGAGAACTGATTAGTTTGTGGTAACTGTGAGATTCAATCTCAACCACAATTCAATAGATAAATTAGGATTTTTAAGATTTTGATAATTTTTAATTAAAATTTTAATGCAAGGACATTTAGGTCTTTTCTCTCCTCTCTTCTCTCTCTGTCCCCGTCTTCCGGCCACCGTTCTCCGATGATACCACAGTGTGATACTCAATCAGATATAAGATGCATTGTAATACCACTGTGTTACATATCCAATCGACCGCACAAACGACTACAGTGTGATACCCAATCACATATAAGATGCATTGTGATACCACTGTGGTATCACCGGAGGCCGGGGGACGGAGACCCAGAGACGGAGAGAGAAGAGAGGAGAGATGAGAGAAAATACCTAAAATGTCCTTGCATTAAAATTTTAATAAAAAATTACCAAATTTATAAATTTCCTAATTTATCTATTAGTTTGTCGTTCAGATTAGACCTCACGGTTACCACAAACTAATTAGTTCTCATTTGATTAGGCCTCTATATATAAGGGAGGGATAAATTGTAAACCAAGCTATTGATACAAACCATGAAATCACCAATAGAAAATTTTAAAAATAAATATGTAAAGAGAAAAATAATACTTTAATATTATAATTAATGTTGGATTCTTCAAAATATAGAATTTGTTGAAGATGAATGTAATTTTTTTTTAAATTTTTTAACTTTATTTCTTCATTTTAAAGTAATTTAGGGAAATCTATTCGACATGGCTTAAAAGTATCTCCAACAACTTCCCATTAACAAAAAAAAAAAAAATTTGGGAACTTTGAGTCAATATTTGACTCTAAAAGTTTCACCAAGTTATCTCCAAAATGGAGAAACCCCAAAAATGATCAACAAATGAAACTATCAATAGCAAAATTTTAAAAATAAATATTTAGAGAGAGAAAAATAAGATTTTAATTGATTAAATAAAATATTTTAATATTATAATCAATGTTGTATTCCCCACAATATAAAATCCGTAGAAGATTGATGTAATTCTTTTTGAAAATTTTGACTTTCAATACTCTATCTTAGAGAAATTTTGGAAAATCTCATGAACATGTTTCTAGTATTAAAATAATAGTAAGTTACGTTTTTCATTCCTGTGGTTTATTAAAAATTATGGATTTCATCTCTGTGATTTTAAAATTTTGGATTTTGTCACCATGGTTTGCAGTTCATTTTTATTTTCGTCTGAGACCAAAACACTAATTTTAAATATAAAAGACTAAAATAGAAGTAAATTATAAATCACAGAGACGATAAAAACAGTAAACTTTAGATCTTAAAGATGATAAAGATAATGAATGATAAACCACAAGAATAAAAATAGTAATTTCAAAATCATAAGAATTAAAATAGAAATTTTCAACAAAGTATAGGGACTAAAAGCGTAACTTACTCTAAAATAATTATTATTAAATAATAAAGGATTTTCTTTTCTTTTCAATATAGAAATAGAAAATAAATAAAGGTGATGGTATGAATAATGTGAAGGAAAGAGAGTATCGAGATGGATTCCCAAAGATCAGATTGCAATGGAGATTATGACTTTTTAGCTTTATTTTTTATATGCTATTTTGTGGGTCCTTTTTTATTATTATTTATATATTTCTCTAAAACATAATTATTTATTATTTGTATAAAAGATAGTTTACCTAAATACTTACCCGATAAACGTTTATTGTTAGGAGTCAACAGTATAATTTATTTTATAGAGTAAGATTGTAGTACATCAAAATGGTATTATATGTGACAATTTACTCGGTAAGCGCTTATCCGGGTAAGAGTCGTTACTCTCATTTACCGAGTAATACTATCCATGTTTATCATTGCTCTTACCGGATAATTTTTTTGACATTTGTCATGTTCATCCGCTAAGGAAAATTACCCGGTAATGTTTAGTAAACGTCCCCTAAATATACTATGTAGTAAAAGTAATTTAAGTGTGTTTAGGATGTGAACCACAATCGTTGGAGAGGATGTAGTAATGTACATAGAGTAGGCCAACTTGATTATTAGTTTTTATTGTAGCAAAGAAGAGAATACATTTTTAATATAGTCAGTTACATATGATACTATATTTCATTATATATGATATGTATGTAATACTAAATTAGAGACGCAGACGAGCTCTGATGCGACCTTGGTTGCGGACCAAGTCGTTGCACGTCGCTAGGCTCCCTCACGTGCAGTGTACTATCACATCCAATGAGGGTGTTCTTGATATGATACTATAATCTATTTCATGTAATACTAAATCAAAGACGTAGATAGTTTTTGGCTCGACCTAAGTCACAGCCTCGCAGGACATGTCATCTACACACCAACCAAGTCCCTTCACGTATATTATCACATGGAATAAAGATGTTCTTGTGTTTTCATAAAATAAAAGTGTTCTCGTTTTAGAAACACATGAAATTGTGATAACCTTGAGAATTAGTGCATCATGTACTATTTTGTATGATTTTTTTTATCTAAGACTTTAGAATATCAGTTAACATAAAGTGTTTCATATGTATTTATTTCATAACCTAAACATTTTTTAGCTTGTTTGTGAAACAAAAGTTACAAGTAAAAAGTTTCACATTCTGAACTGCATACATATTAAACAAACACATTATGAAACAAATATATGTTCATCAATACATTAAAAGATAGCCTACCTTTAGATGAGAAAAAAATCATATAAAATAATATATTAAGATAAAAGTTCTTACAATTATCACAACAGATCTATTCTCAAATAATCAAAACACTATATGCATTGGTTACCTTTTTCTTTTAAAAATGAAAATGATGAATTTAATTGAACCGTTGGGAGTGAAATAAAGCAGGAACATGTTAACGATATGATGAATACGAGTAAAAATGGTGTTGGTGGGTCTCCAAAAGTGTGGGACATTTAGATTTTGTGTGATTTTTTCTTTTATATTTACGGTTTTTTACTTGATATTATTCTTATAAAAATAATGATAATTGTAGAGTATATGCTTCAACATGAATCACACAAGAATATATTATATACCTCTAGTAAAATAACTGTCTGTAATCCCGCATGGATAAGCTCACACTAACCCGTCAATTTAGGATCCAATTCGAGATTTTCCTCGAGAGGTATCGGGAAAGAATTGGAATAGAATAATATCGATTCAGACAGAAGAAAAAGTATTTATTTCGAACGTTTTAGGTAATTAAATAACAATAGTCTTATAAAAACGATAGATTATTTATTACAAAAGACAAAAAAAAGGATTGATAAAATTAATATAGATTTATGTATATATTTAAATGGGCAAATTGCATGAAAAAATAACGTATTTTAACTTGATTCATATTTTGGGTAACGTACTTTTAAAAATTTCATTTTGGTACCTAAGTTGTAAAGTTTTAAACATTTAAGTACTCGGGTTGAAGTATTAATCGATTACCATGCTGATGTGGAGAGTAATTGAATAAAATTGGGTGAATGACAAATAATACTGAGTTAGATACAACATCACTCGTCACATTAGTATGGTAATTCGGTTAATATTTACATCTTAGGTACCAAAATAAAAGTTTTAAAAGTACGTTACCCAAAATATGAATCAAGTTAAAATACGTTACTTTTTCATACAATTTGCCCTATTTAAACTGTTAATAAAGATAAATTTCTACATATGACATTTACGTTCAAATAAACTAATGACCCATGTCCATTGACGCTAACTTATGATTGTATGTGAAATTTATCGTCATCACATACAATGAACTAATTTACGGTCTAGAAATACAAAGGGATCCAATGAGAACAAACGGACAAGAAAGTAATGCTACATCATTTTCGGTGTCGGGATTTGGAGAAACCTGAAATTTATTGACGTTTCCTCTTGTCTTGTTAAGTCGTTTGTTACGTAACTTTCTATGAATAATTTCATTTCTTTTTTATGTATCTAATTTTTAGCAAAACATTAAGACAGTGACGACATTAGTGGTGTGTGGCCCAGATAACAACTCAGGGTATCAGAAGTCTGAGGGGTTCTTTGATAATATGGTTACTATTTTACATTTATATGAAGTTTTAAGGATTAAAAATAGAAAGCCAATGAAGAAAATAGTTTATATTTATTTCGATTTATTGTTTTCTTAATTTTAACAAATACGATAAATAAAGACTAATTATTTTTTATTTAAAAACATTTATTTATTTTATTTCAGAGAAAAAACAAAATATATATATAGGAAAACAAAACCAATAAAACAAACACTAACGACCCTTCAAAAAGGGACCAAAGACATAAAATATGTTAAAAATGTATTAGAAAGATACTCGCATGCAGTGTAAATAAATCTTAGTTTTAATGTTTAGTTTTTATTCTTTGTCTTTATTGATATAATACGATTTTATGTGGTTTAAATAATACGATAATGTTTTTATTTTTGAATAAAATATAAATTTAAAGATATCATAAATTTTTTAAAAAAATCGATATTAGTATCAAATTAATTATTTAACAGTTCTTGTGTTTTTGGTGAAACTTCTTTAATTCAGTTTTTATTATAATTTAATCTATATTTAATAACAAAGTAATTTATTTTTTATTTAATAATATAATTTTT